CAGTATGAAGCCTCGCTTGGACGCCTGTCATCCCAGTGGCTTGGGAGGCTGAGGCAGGAGGATCGCAAGTTCAAAGTCAGCCCCAGCAACTCAGTGAGGCCCTAAGCAACTCAGTGAGACCCTGACTCTAAATAAAATATAAAAAGGCTCAATGGTTAAGTGGCCCTGAGTCCAATCCCTGGTACCAATAAATAAATAAATAAACAAAGCCTCCTGTGAACTAGCATGAAGCTGGGCAGTGGGGAAGTCAGAGACGGTTATCATCAACATGGCCCTGCACTCACGAACTGCAGACCCAGGCAGAAAGCCAGGGACTAACAAGTGGCCAAATGAGGAAATCAAAGCTATAATCGCAAGGAGTGAGTGAGTGTCCTGAGGACACTAAAACAGAGTGGTCAATACAGAACTTGGGGTCAGGATAGGGGGATACCTTAAAGGTGGGACAGGGGCAAGGAAGTCCCCTGGAAAAGGTGATTTTGATGAGCAAGGAACTGGGGGAACAGGAAGGTGATGGCAGGACCAGATAAATTTTCAGAGCTCAGTTGCAAAATCCAAACAAGAAACTCTTTTCTTATTTAAATATATATATATATTTTTTTTTTAATAATATATATTTCAGTTCTGGGAACTGAACCCAAGGGGCGCTCTGCAGGTGAGCTACATCCCCAGCACTTACTATTATTATTTCTATTTTTATTTTAAGACAAGYGCTCACTAAACTGTCTAGTCTAGCCTTAAACTTGCAATCCTTCTGCCTCAGCCTACCCAAGAGCTGGAACTCTGGGATTAGAGGTGTGCATCACTGTGCCGCCTTCAAAAATTATTATCACAAGAGGGTGACGGCAAAGTATTAAATCAAGCATGTGGTCCCTCTAAGGGCAAGGCACATGCCTGGACAGTTGGTCCTGGTGRGTAGCCCTGCAGGAAGAGGACAAAAGAGAGGCACAGCAAGGGCAAGAGCCCAGAAGGAGACCCAGCTTGAGTGCTCAGTGGTGAGGACACAGCAGGAAAGAGGGCCTCTTTGAAGATTGCTTCAAAAGAGCTTCTGCCCAGGCCACAGGTTTCAACTTATGGACTTTCCATCTGTGATTTTGCAGTCTCCTGCCAGTGGCCCTGCAGGAAGAGGCCCAGCAGGAAGGACGCCTTCCGAAGCAGAAGAGAAGCCAGAGGGCCCCCAGGAATGGCTGAGGGAGAGGGCAGACCACACCCACACCACCTGACTGTGCTCCCACTCGAACAGAGGGCCTGGACAAATACCCTGGGCTTCTCCCACGTCTTAGTTTTCTGTATTGGAAGTGGTTACATTAGGGTCAGAAGAACCAGCACAAATCCCTGGCCCCTGCTTTCATTTTGTGGAAAGTGAGTACCTCAAAATGTCACATTTGTCCGAATATAGACAATTTAGCAGCTGCTATGGTGTCAATGTGTCTCCCAAAAGTTCACAGGCCAGAAACTCAATCCCCAGATTCACGTGTTGACGGTACTTGGAGATGGATCCCTTGGCGGGTAGTTAGGATTGGATGAGATCCTGGGGGTGGGGCCCSGCGATGGCCTTAGTGAATTTATAAGAAGAGGAAGAGAGACCAGAGCTAGCACTCCCGCTCTGTCTCCCCATGTGATATCTTCCACCATGTTGTGGTGCAACAAGTAGGCCCTCACCAGATGCTGAGCGGATGCCAGAGCCAAGTTCTCGGCCCGCCCAGCCTCCAGAACGGGAGTCAAATAAACTTTTATTTTTTTATTTTTTATTTTTTTGTAGTGCTGGGGATTGAACCCAGGAGCACTTAACCACTGAGCCACATCCGCAGCCCTTTTTTCTATTTTATTTAGAGACAGGGTCTCATTGAATTGCTTATGACCTTGCTAAATTGTTGAGGATGGCTTTGAACTCACAATTCTCCTGCCTCAGCTGCTCAAGCTACTGGGATTACAGGTATATGCCACCACGCCCACCTTAAACTTTTATACGCTGCCAGGTCTCAGGTATTTTGTTATAGCAATGAAAACTAAGACAATAGCTTTACAGGAAAAATACTAATTAAATGGAGCTTCCTGGATTCTATTAACAGGAACTTTTGTTCACCATACTTGCCTTCTTGGGTCAGGATTCACTTCCTCAATGCTACATCTGGTTATAGGCAACTCATCAGCTGGCCTTACCACATTGCTGTTAGATAAAATATATGTGAGTCCCTTGTTTTAGACTAAGCTCCTRTACTTAAACCCCAGCAGACCATACCAGAATGGAGTCACTCATGCTAAGTGCCACATAATCAAACTAAACTTGAAAATGGATCAAGCTTTTAGAGAACAAGAAATTCACACCAACCAATCAGAAGGGGCCAGCAATGCTAAGGCAGCCCCCCTTGTTTAACCCTATAAGGAAACGACTAGTCTGCTTTCTATTCCATAYTCCTCATTTCYTCAGCCCTTTTCYATCTATAAACYAGCCWGTTGTGCTCAGCTTCCTGGAATACCTGTTCTATGTTGTAGAATGAGCTGTTACCTCGTTCTAGACTTGCTAATAGAAGCCAAATCAATCTTCAAAATAATTTGTGGTGATTTTGTCTTTTGACACCACCCTCTAGAACTCATGTCCAAAACCTGCTTGAGCGWTGACCTGGGGACCCCAGGGAATAGGCATTACTCTCTTGCAGGAGAGGAAGAGCCCAGGGGCACCATCCACAAAGCAACACTGTGGAGGGGTTTTATGAAGATGAGATTAAGGGGCCCTGTGGACATACCTTCAGGAGTTGGCCCAAGGCCCTACCAGTAGATGTGGACAAGGGGTCAACAGAGGACTGGCAAACACCAGGTACTGAGCCTCCCAAAGATGCCGAAATCCAAGGCCAAAAATTCTACATAACAGCCTGCTCAGCCTCATTTTGATTTGGGTTGTTCCCAACAGGCTGGAACACATAGGTTTTGACCTAATTTTTTAATCCAACCACCAGAGGCAGAGGCACTAGCACAACTGTCTGAGCTTAACTCCCTGAAGATTCTTTGACACGAGATTCTCATGATGGGTCATTGGACCAAAGAACCCTGTGGGCGTCCTCCACCAGAGGCTCCTGGTTCTGGGAGTCAGCTGGGACTGGGGCTGTTCCCCATGGCTGTCGGCATCCTGGGAGGTGCCAGCAGAGCCCCYTCATGGCCCCTGGGGAGGGTGCAGGGGAAAGAAAGTTGGAGAGCAGGGCACAGAGCACCCTGTGGCACGTGGAAAGGACCTGGGCTTTGCAGATGCAGATTTGGCCTTGAACTTGATTCTGCCACTTCCCAGATGTGTGTCTTCAGAAAGATCTCCCTGCCTGGGTTTCAGTTTCCCCATCTGTGAAGTGAGCCTGCTCCAGCCTTGTTCCCTTGTCAGGGGCAAGTGGGTAATGTATGTAAACTGGGGGTAGAAGAAAGGCGGTCAGGCTCTGGGTGAACCTGGGTGCTCAGGGTGGGGCGAAGATACTGGATGGACRAGGGCCAGGCCAGGAAGGAGCTGGGGGAAACTGACCACTTAAGCGCCTACTGTGTACCAAACTCTGCATATTTCACAAACATTATCGTATTTAACCCCTTCCACGTTTTACAGAGAAGGCCCAGAGGTGGGAGAGGTGAGGGCCACGCCCAAGGTCCCGTAGCAGGAGGTGGCAGAGCCAGGGCTATGCTCCCGGTACCAGGCTCCCAAGGCTCCTCTTTCTTCAGCCCTTCCAGAAGTTCACCACAGTCTCCCTGAAGACCCTCTATGCAAAAGGTTGGCCTTTGCTTTTTTCTCTACCTTCTTCCAGCAACCAGGGTTAAAGGTCACTGGGAAGATGGTGCATGTGAAAGACCCTAYCCAGGTCTTTCCCATTGGGGTAGAGAGGACAGGAAACGCTGGAAGGAACAAAACTTCACCTTTAAGGTGGGGAGACGGGAGGAAGGAACAGGGGACAGAGAGCAGAGTCTCTCCAGCGGGCAGTTATGCTGGGGGCTCRTTGCTCTTCTCTCTTTCCCCAAATTTTCTTCCAGCGACTGCTGTTCTCTGGGGCTGGAAGGTCAATAACAGAACAACAGCAAAAAGCCACCAACTGCACCCCTGGGGTAGTCCCACCCGTTATCAACCTTCAAGTCAGTGCTCATTTCCAACATCAGTGGTGGTGGAGGATTATCATTATTTGAGTTTGTGTGTTTTAGGCATCGCTGGGGGACGCTGGTTTTCAGTTGTTAGTTACCTGCTGAATCAATTAGCGGAAATGAATGAATGGCTGCCTCTTTGGGAACGCCCTCTCCCTCCAGGCTCCCCAGATCACCTTTGGTTCTTTGGGCTTCAATCATAACTAGATATAACACGAGGTGTGGGGCTGCGGACACCCCTGTCATCCCAGGGGCAGGGGCAGAGCTGAGGCAGGGAGATGGCAAGTTCAGGCAGCCTCAGCAACCCAGCAAGACCTCGTCTCAAAATAAAATACAATACAAAGGACTGGGGAGTAGCTCAGTGGAAAAGCACCCCTGAGTTCAATCCCCACTATCCATCCCCCCAAAATAAATCCTAGTTACACTCCAGTCATCCTCCCCAGCTGGGCTGAGATGGACTAGAAAGACAGTTTGCTGGTACAGAACACAGTACACTCAGTAGGTGCTTAATAGRTGATTTTGAAAGGAAGCAAATAGCTATCACTTCTATTTTGGAGGGTGGCGATATTGAGGATTGAACTCAGGGGCACTTGACCACTGAGCCACACCCCAGCCCTATTTGGTATTTTACTTAGAGACAGGGTCTCACTGAGTTGCTCAGGGCCTGGCTTTTGCTGAGGCTGGCTTTGAACTCGCGATCCTCCTGCCTCGGCCTCCCAGCTGCTGGGGTAACAGGCGTGCACCACAGCATCCTGCTACTTCTACTTTTTGACACAGCTACCCTTGAAATGTTGGYGGGGGGGCAGCCTGGTGGGGGACAGGCCAGGGAGGGGTGTGGGACACCCCTAACGCTGCCCACCTGTGCACGCACTGTCTGGAGGAGAAAGGCCCGTTACCTCATGGTGGGGACCGAGGTCTCAGGTTCACTTGCAGTGTKAGGAGAGTCCGAGGACGCGGCACCCAGGCTGGCCCGGCTGCCCCTCCGGGGGGACTCTCGGAAGGAGCTGGCCCCCGAGTCGTCGTCGGAGGAGTTGTCGTCAAAGGAGCCCAGGATGAAGCTGGTCAGGAGCTGCCGCTTGAGGTGAGCCTGCTTCTCGTCGGCTCTGGAGGGGGGCCTGGCTGGCTGGCCCTGGGGCCGGGCTGGGGAGGACAGGCCATTGGTACCTGGGGCTTCTGGTCCCTGGGTCCCCGTCCCGCTGGCGGTGGGTTCCGGGGAGGGCCACGTGCCATCGGAAGAAACGGGGATTCTCGGGGGCCTCTGGTGCGCGGGGGGTCTGGAGCTTCTCTGCCGATGGGCGCCTTCGGGGCTCGGGGGGGCGGCCAGCTCGGCCCCGCCGGGGGTCCCTGGCGGGAGGGTGGCACTGCCATTTCCCTGGAGGTGGTCCTCCGAGCTGTCTGAGGCTGGAGAGGCCTCCTGGCTCAGTGTGAAGCTGGCCTCCAACTGACCATTGGTGGCTGGCTGGGCATCTGTCATTTTCCCCCAGATTTTTAACCAGGAGCAGGTCAGACAGTAGAAGATCAGGCAAGACAGGAAAAGAAGCAAGACCATTCAGGAAATCTGTAAAGAAAAGGAGAGAGACTTTAAGGTCTGAGTAAGGAGTCCTTTCTCACATAAAGGAGCTGGTGGGCGCAGGGCAGCGGGCAGAGGTGGTCCTCCACCCAGCCTGGCCCAGGAGGTGCTCTGTGACRGGGCTGGCCCTCCACCGCCTGGGTCTGGGTTTCTTGACTCTAGTTTAATGACACGGCTAAGGGTTTTATTTTTGCACAGGCRTGGCACTGGGGATTGAACCCAGGGGCACTCCACCACTGAGCCCCATCCCCAGGCCTATTCTGTATTTTATTTAGAGACAGGGTCTCACTGAGTTGCTGAGCACCTTGATTTTGCYAAGACTGGCTTTGAACTCACGATCCTCCTGCCTCAGCCTCCCGAGTTCATGTGGTAGGAATGGAGTCCCCCTTGCAGTACAGCACTGTGGAGAGGGGGGCCTTTGAGAGGCAACTGGGCTGTGAGAAAGGGATTCATGGGGTGGGTTGGTTGACACCAGAGTAGGTCATTAGAGAAGTGAGTCTGGACCCCTCTCTTTTTTTCCCCATTGGTACTAACCCAGAGGCACTTTATTACTGAGCCACATCCCCAACTCTTTTAATTTTTTTCTTTTGAGCCAAGGTCACACTAAGTTACTTAGAGCCTCACCAAATTGCTGAGGCTGGCCTCAAATTGTGATCCTCCTGCTTCAGCCTCCCAAACTACTGGGATTATAGGTGTACTGGACCCTTCTTTCAGGAGCTCTCTTGCCCTGTGCCTCCTACTTGAGACACAGTAAGAGGGCCCCCTTTGATCTTAGCCATCCCAGCTTCTAGATCTGTAAGAAATAAATCTCTGTTCTTTAAAAATGACTGGTTTCAGGTATTCTAACAGCACACTACTAAGGTAGCAATACTAACACATGCTTCACATGAACCATGAACCTGCACGTGAAAGAGGACTAAGTGAGCAGCATTATTCCTAAAGCCAAAAAAGCAGAAACAACCCAGATACCCTTGACTGAAGAACAGGTAACCAGAATGTCAACCCACAACACAATGGAGCCATGAAAAGGGACGAAGCTCTGATCCAAGCTATAAGGTGGAGGCATTTAAAGACATTATGTCAAGTGAAAGAAGCCAGGTACATGACCACAGACTGGATGGTTCCATCATATGACTTGTCCAGGATGCAGACAAAAGGAAGACTGAGGGCTGCTGCAGGGTGGGGAGGCAGGGGCTGGCTAAAGGTGGAGCATATGGGGCAGGGGGATCAACACGTTCTGAAACTGATCAGGGAGAYGGTGAAGACTCTGAAAACCCATGACTTCTCCTTCACTCGAGTGAAATTGTATGGTTCGTGAATTATGTCTCAATGAAACTGTTAACTTTTTTTTAATGATTAAGATATACAGTTGGTATCCGAAAATTCCATATCTGCAGATTTAACTGACTGGACGAAAAATATCTGGGGAAGGGCTGGGGACATGGCTCAGTGGGTAGAGTGCTTGCCTCGAATGCATAAGGCCCTGGGTCAAATCCCCAGCACCATAAAAATATTTTTAAAAAATASAGGGAAAACATTTGCATCTGCACTAAACAGACGTTTCCCTGAATGATTCTGTGCACAGCTGCCCACARCATGGCCTCGCGTCAGGCATGTGAGTGGCCTAGAGACGGTGGCCTAYGAGGGGAGGAGCGCAGGTCTGGAGGCAGACACACCGTTCTCCATATGGGTGTTGGTATCCACGGCCCTGGAGCCAATCTGCTGWGGCTCTCGTGGATGTGATGTGCATGTCCCACCATGGGACGATAAGGGTGTGACTGCTCCTGTCATCCCCCTGCGTCACTGTATCACTGTCCCCGCTGTCACCGCAGTCCTGGAGGGAGGAAGGCCCCCTGCCTTGCCTGATACAGGTGTGCTGACCACTGGGACACCCCTCTGTGAGACCAGGGGGGCTCCAGTCCCAGGGTCTAGGACCCTGTGTGCAGTGGGGGCTTCTGCGGCTGAATGAGCTCGCATGCTCCGGTGTCTGGCCCTCGCCTCCTCCCTTCACAGACTCTGCTRTTTTAATGAGCACATAATCATTCCTTGAAGAAAGTACTGTTCAAAAAAACTGGGACCCCGACATATTTCAACAACTTCTGGACCAGTTTTGCAAGCTGGCATGTGGCTCAGAGGGGCAGCGCTTGCCCAGCAGGCACCAGGCCCTGGGCCATTCCCAGCATCGCAAAAAAAAAGAATGATCCCTTCTGCCACATTGTACGCCAGAGGAGTCACAACAGGGCCACAAAGCTGCAGCCGATGGCTGTGGTATCTCAATGGCACTGTCTTGTCATTTCAACACACTGTTCTGAAGYGAAGTGGAAAAGTTCTCAAGATTTCCTGGAAATGACCCAAGTACTTCTTGAACATTTTTGGCAGCAGAACTGCTGAAATGTTGGCAAGGGTATTTTTCTAGGTAACACACAGGGTCAGAGGGGTTTTGTTTTTTTT